AGAGCGTCAAGATAAAATAGCTGTCATCCGTGGATGATTTTGTCGAAATAAATATTACACAGAAAACATAAATACGAAAACATTTAAATACACGAATTTAACAAACTTGGCCAAGTGACAAACTGACAAACACGCGAGACAGGCGCCGGTTTTCTATGTAATATTTATTTCGACAAAATCATCCACGGATGACAGCTATTTTATCTTGACGCTCTACAACCTGAAGATGTGCCCCAGCGGCATGAAACAGCTGTAGTTATCACTTACTACACAAGGATCGTTCGACACAAAAGGTAACATAAACCATTTTATATTGCAATTTTCGATCCAGAGGCTAACCCATCATGAAACTATAAGGTTAATTGTATCGAGTAGCTTTATGCCACTGAATTGAGTTGCAGAGTTTTTTTCTTAGGGAGATGTGGATGCATCTCTCCCTAAAAAACCCCTGCACTTCAATTCAGTCACATTAAGTTACCCTCAAGTAACCTTATAGTGCCTGCAATGCTTTCTTCAAACCCAACTTCTTCCACGACAATCTTAAACAACTCCTTACCTTTCCTAACAATTAGGAGTTGCAGAGTAAAAATAGTGCAAATGTTAGTGATTTTTATATATTCATTTTGCCTACCTTTCCATGATAGTGTTTCAAGTTGCCCTCACAGTTTATCGTAATTTAAAAGTTGATTAATCAGAAGGAATGGTATTATACGGCAGCGCACAATGTCAGTGGCTCGATTTCACTAAGTTGTTTTATTCTGAAACTGTCTCCATAATTAACTTAGGAATGCAATTTTCCAAAGCAGTTTCTTTGGTTAGAATGTCTTTGAATTAAGTAGTGTCTGATTTTAGTAACTGTTCTCGAATGCAGTCATCTTTGACTTAAAAAGTCAAAGACTTAAAAAGTCTCTCTTAAAAATTTGTTCTCTTAAAATTATGTAGTTGAAAAATGGTTGAATGTTACTTACCAGCGTATTACTCGGTTGTATTGGAGGTTGAAGTTGACGTTGTTCAATAATCTTCGTTGCAAGTGTGATTTTGATCTCAGTACATGCTTTCAATAGTACTATGAATTTATCTGCATTAATAATGTACCAAATACAAATTTAGAAAAGGTTCTAGATCGAAATATTAAGGAGAAATTTTGAAAAACCTTTCCTCATCACCAATTATAGTGCCTCTTGAACTACAGTTAATAATTAATTGCAAGCATTTGAACAAACTCTTGGAAAAAATTGAAACTGTAAATATGAAAACGAAAACATTGAACTAAATTGTTTTACTAACTATTAACAACAGCTGATTATAGAAAGAATAAATGATACTACAAGACAAGGATTGTATTATAGAAATTGCGTTTTGGTGAGGGGTGGGGGAGAATTAGGAGGAGAGGGAGGAAGAAATAAGTCCTAAGCCACTCCACCTTGTCACATACCATTGACAATGTCGAAGCACCCAACTGACAACCTTAACATCTTCTCAACTCGACTACCTCTGTTACTTCTATATGATCAGTGGTGATTTTATAACTTTATTTATTTCAGTCACAGACGGTATTATTAATTAATTTCCTTGTTATTTTATTTGTTTACTAAATTAGCATTTGTACTTCTAAGTAAAACAGCTGCTCCAAAATTTTTTATCCAACGTCGTCTTTTTGTTAGAAAGCAGTAATTGATGGTGGCAATTTAAATGGTATCTGGATCCAGACTGATCCAACTTTGGACCAAACCATTAACTTTCAGATTTGATGCCAAACATTACAACCACTTGGCTATTTACACAACTTGCATATACCCTCACTCTAGTTATCACGAACGTCCTTAATATTGTACAAGTAATACAATTCCTACATACTAAAAAATTTGACCAATGAATTATACCCTAAGAAGGAATTTATTCTTAAATGAAAAAGTTTCTGTTACGTTGTGTATGAACTGTTTTACCTTAACAAATTACTATACCACTACCCACGCTACTGTATCGTTTACAGATTTTAATAAACCTTTGTTCTTATCCCAGCTCTAAATTTTTTTTATCATAGCCTTTGATCAAAGCTTAATTAAAGCGTGGGATGTTGTCCTGGTGCGTGGTTATAATACACGATGAGACTATAGGTACTGCAAAAAAAAATAGGTACTGCAACAAAAGATTATGTAGCAATGATCCAAAAGACAATTTATAAGGGCTACAATTATTAAATATTTTATGGATATATAAAAATATCTAGCATCTACCTTTGAAGCAATTTCTATAATGTACTTTTTACTTCAGAGAAAACATTTTTTTAAGAAATTTTATACTAAATAGTAAAATATGATATTTGAAAACGCCTGCAAAAACCTACTGGCAATATGGATACTGCTGCCATTTTGCCTACCAACGCCGCGCCCACCGTAGTGCAGAGCGTTAAGTATTTGTATAACACTTATGATACAATTAATTTAGCTCTGTTGACAAACTTGTCATGGTATTGTTTTTAACTCTGGGTTTTATAAATGGGTTGCCTCAAACTTATATTAAATCAACTATTAACTTCCTTTCCTCGCTGACTAACTGTTTTTAAAATCAAAAATAGTAAATACAACTTATATTCTACAATTTGTAAATGTTTATTACACTATCATACATCGTGGCCATGTTCCATATGAATTAACAAGATATGGGAAGTTTTTAACTGTAATACAAATATGTTTATTGGCAAAAAAAATATCTATATTAAAAGAATTTGTTGGATTTTGTGTGCAGCAAATCGAAATCTAAATAAATATTTATTTGTATAGGCATATTTGGTATCAATTTAAAGCTCTTATCCTCTACATGTGCCTATTTTACGGGATGGATGATATCCCGTAAAAACTCTTTACCCTGTAGGCTTTTAAAATATCATAGTTTATGCTAAATTCTGTTGTCAATCATCTGAACTTTTTCAAGTTTACGTTTGTTTACATCACAACAGATGGCCATGATACAATTTTGTTTACATCCATACGAAAATGGGGTTATCTGTAGTTGGTGATGTTTCAGTGAATTCAAGTGAAATGCTGTAATGTTATTTGTATGAAATGTAAAAGAAAATGACTTACGTTAAACGTACATTGTGTTGTGATAGGATTTTGTGTCTTCATACTATGTTGATGTTTTAGGGAATTCAAGTAAAATATTGTAAGTTAGCTGTGTTGTGTAAAATGTAAAGAAGCAAGAAAATGACTGGAAGATTTCGTGTTTTCATAGCATGTTTCAATTTGTGATTTTTCCACGATGCCTCGAAGAGATCGCGCACGCAATGAAACTAATATGACTCGCTATGCAAATAATAGGGATATGATGAGACAATCCTTCGTTTCTATGATGAGACGCCACGAAGTGACGCAGGTTGCTAGTTTATATTTAATTTGTGACAAATATTACCATTTGCGTAATAGTATACGCTTCGTAGGCCTAGCTTTATCATCGTCAAGCAATCTTAAACCCTTTATGAAATGAAATCTAGTTAACAGTTCCATTTTCATTGAATTGACATTTACCTAGAAAACATTCCAAGTTGAAGTTAGATCCAAATCTAATCCAAAATTGAACCGAAAAAATCGTTAAAATGTGAAACCTCCTAAATTATAGTAACAGAGTATATGTATAGTGTTAACGTCAAATACGTAGGCTGCTAACTCAATTCTGAGAAGGGTAAGAGTGGGTGTTCACAGCCGCGTTAAACGTTATAGATCGTCAACTGTGTGTTGGTTTTACCTCTAAGTTTATTTAATAACTAAAAACCTTTCTGTTGAGTAGTATAGGCTAAACTAGATCGTGAGAATAGTCTGGAGTTGAAGCATGAACATAAAACAATGATACCAATATGATGAAATACCCAGCCTTACATATCCAAACCTTCTGAGCTTATCTAAATTACCTAAATTATTACTTAACCTCACCTACGGTAACCAACCTTTACCATTACTATATTATAAATTGAGATTAGGACGTGATAAGGAGTATTTTACCATGAATATGGATGAAGGTCGAGTGTAGAATGCAGCTTTATTAATGAGTAGGACGAGCTGTTGTTGACCTCTTCATCCAGGAAGATTAATTTAAAAGTCCAATGATCAAGAACGTCTGAGCCAACCTTTTTCTGAATAACGTTAGCAGATTTAACATTACATGACAACTTTCCCTCAGTTCCCTTAACGTTATTTAACTTATTCTTATCGTCGTATGAATTTAAATTATACAACAAACAGAAGTGCGTCGGTTCTGTAACAGTAGAGAGTATATTTCCTATGTAATAAATCTGTATCATCAATACAAAATGTTTATCCAAATAAACAACAAAACCAACCTTTTAAAACCAATAAGCCAAATGAAAGCGTAAACAGTTGCACTAAACTCTGCAACAAACTGGCAAAAGTAAACGTATAAAGGATAGGGGAGGAACGGCTGCAAAAACAAGCCATTGTTTGACATAGATAGGTTTCAACGACGTACACAAAATGTGGCCAGTTGATAGAATATCTCTATGGTCCGACAGGAGGAGTGGGTGGGGGGGGGGGTTGTGGGGGTATTGTACCAAACAGACTGCTCGCCCCCTAGACCACCTGTTGCTTCCATTACTCGATTAGTGGATATCCTTCCTCCCCTCCAATCTTCTCAATATTTATCCTGTTCTGTTCACTGCACTGCATTAGGCATCAAACCTCTTCATGTTCCAGATAAAATCAATATGTATTGTTAAAAAAGGACGTGTAAACGATATTTCAGGTGTTCATTCGTAACGTTGTCTCGCTGTTGTATGTTATTTATAATGAAGTGAGAAGTATTGGTGCAGTTCTAGTAAATGAGAAAAAACCTGGTGTTAGTGAACTAGGATAATATCACCTTGATTATTTGTATAGTACTAATTTGCTGTTTTCCAAGGTTCATTGGTTAAAATATCTACAGTCAAACGTTTAAACTAACAAATTATCTACAACATTCGTGTACTGTAATAGCTATTTTTCTTGCAGCCGATGCTGGGACAGATAAAGCGGTCAGGGAACGAAGAGAACAGCGGCGAGTTCTACAGACTGAGGAGTTTCAGCATAACACCCAGCGGTATATGCAACCTCGGAGACTCCTTCAAGTCTCGACGCAGCAAAAGTATCAGCAGTGTCAGCAGTACCTGTTCCAGCAACAGCGGCGCCACTCCTTCCAACCGCGACAGGATACCCAGGTAACTGACAACAGCGGTGTCACTCCTTCCAACCACGACAGGATACCCAGGTAACTGACAACAGCGGTGCCACTCCTTCCAACCACGACAGGATACCCAGGTAACTGACAACAGCGGTGTCACTCCTTCCAACCACGACAGGATACCCAGGTAACTGACAACAGCGGCTCCCCTCCTTCCAACCACGACAGGATACCCAGGTAACTGACAACAGCGGTGTCACTCCTTCCAACCACGACAGGATACCCAGGTAACTGACAACAGCGGCTCCCCTCCTTCCAACCACGACAGGATACCCAGGTAACTGACAACAGCGGTGCCACTCCTTCCAACCACGACAGGATACCCAGGTAACTGACAACAGCGGTGCCACTCCTTCCAACCACGACAGGATACCCAGGTAACTGACAACAGCGGTGCCACTCCTTCCAACCACGACAGGATACCCAGGTAACTGACAACAGCGGTGTCACTCCTTCCAACCGCGACAGGATACCCAGGTAACTGACAACAGCGGCTCCCCTCCTTCCAACCACGACAGGATACCCAGGTAACTGACAACAGCGGCTCCCCTCCTTCCAACCACGACAGGATACCCAGGTAACTGACAACAGCGGCTCCCCTCCTTCCAACCACGACAGGATACCCAGGTAACTGACAACAGCGGTGCCACTCCTTCCAACCACGACAGGATACCCAGGTAACTGACAACAGCGGTGCCACTCCTTCCAACCACGACAGGATACCCAGGTAACTGACAACAGCGGTGTCACTCCTTCCAACCACGACAGGATACCCAGGTAACTGACAACAGCGGCTCCCCTCCTTCCAACCACGACAGGATACCCAGGTAACTGACAACAGCGGCTCCCCTCCTTCCAACCACGACAGGATACCCAGGTAACTGACAACAGCGGCTCCCCTCCTTCCAACCACGACAGGATACCCAGGTAACTGACAACAGCGGTGCCACTCCTTCCAACCACGACAGGATACCCAGGTAACTGACAACAGCGGTGCCACTCCTTCCAACCACGACAGGATACCCAGGTAACTGACAACAGCGGCTCCCCTCCTTCCAACCACGACAGGATACCCAGGTAACTGACAACAGCGGCTCCCCTCCTTCCAACCACGACAGGATACCCAGGTAACTGACAACAGCGGTGCCACTCCTTCCAACCACGACAGGATACCCAGGTAACTGACAACAGCGGTGCCACTCCTTCCAACCACGACAGGATACCCAGGTAACTGACAACAGCGGTGCCACTCCTTCCAACCACGACAGGATACCCAGGTAACTGACAACAGCGGTGTCACTCCTTCCAACCACGACAGGATACCCAGGTAACTGACAACAGCGGCTCCCCTCCTTCCAACCGTGACAGGATACCCAGGTAACTGACAACAGGAGGCCATGACAATGTCAGATAACTATAATAATGGTACTATACCTCGTCAAGTAATCCAAATGTTGTTTGAGGTTAACAACCTACATGTTTCGCCGTAAATACGGCATCGTCAGGGTTACAAAAACGAAGACATCGATGTCACACGCACACAATAAATACACGAATACGAACATTTAATTACGGAAAGACAAAGTAAACATTTAATTGACATTGATAGGCCTATCACACGCACACGACACGGACGGTCCCGGCGCAGGTGGTAGACTGCAGTCTCAGACTCCTTCCTCGTTATTGTCCATGTTATCAGTAGGACAAAGAGAGGTCAATAATAAGGACGAACGTAAGAAGTACGTATGTATTGAATATTCCCACACACTACAAAATTGTCTATCCAAAGAGCTTCGTAGGCAGGGAATCGAATTAACATTCAAAAATACAAACCGTACTCGTAACACCCTGTCACAAATTGACCGATCAAGAGATAAAATGGAAATGACAGGTGTTTACAAAATTAAATGCCAAGATTGTCCGAGCCAATATGTTGGGCAAACAGGTCGTGGGTTCGCTACTCGCTACAACGAACACAGGCCCAAACCATGTTTAATAAAACAAAATTAAGCGTTTGCCCAGCATTTAATCGACCTAAACCATAACATGAGTGAGATTGCTGACGGTCTTGAGGTGCTACATAAATGCAGTAAAGGTAGTAAACTAAACACGTTAGAGGAGTTTGAAATTTACAAATTGTACCACGACAACACTGCCAGTGGACATATCCTCAACGAAAAACTGCAGTTCCAGTCACACTCTATTTTCAATGTGCTAATTCACCAAAATAACCGGCCACCTGACCTTTGTCCTACTGATAACATGGACAACAACGAGGAAGGAGTCTGACACTGCAGTCTACTACCTGCGCCGGGACCGTCCGTGTCGTGTGCGTGTGATAGGCCTATCAATGTCAATTAAATGTTTATTTTCCGTAGTTAAATGTTCGTATTCGTGTATTTATTGTGTGCGTGTGACATCGATGTCTTCGTTTTTGTAACCCTGACGATGCCGTATTTACGGCGAAACATGTAGGTTGTTAACCTCAAACAACATTTGGATTACTTGACGAGGTATAGTACCATTATTATAGTCATATAAAGTAATCCAGGGGCCATCAACATGGAATTTAATAAATGTCAGATAAGTTCCAAGGGCCAGGGGTTTGGAAAGCGAAGTAGATGGGAGTGGTAATAAGTTGCTAATACCCTTGGTCGCAAAGCTAGGGTCGTTGGTACAAATATGAACTACAGGATCGGCAGGATCCCTTGGCAAAGATTTCAAACTACATATGATTTGGAAAATATGTATTTATGTAGGCTATCTATGTAAAGATATGTATTTCAAAATACATATGATTTAGAAGATGTTCAGCGTGAATATGCCTGGTGGCAATGAGATTAATATTTAACAATCGTATGTTTAATACTACACAATTATTTGTAATTAAACCTAATTACAAAAACGGTGAGCACTGATGATTATTTTACCTCCCAACTGACAATATCGAGAAACATCCAGGAAATTATATTAGGATCCTTAAAGTGATTTCAAACGGTAAATGAGTGAAGTTTTAATAGGTAAGTCAACAAGCCTTGGTGAAGTTTCAAATGAAAAACTTTCCGCAGCTCTTACTAGGAAACTACGAGCGTCTGAGAAATGAATATTCATTTTGAGGGTCTGTATTTTACAAACTCAGTTTGAAATTCCATGTGATTTTTTGATTAATCTTTTTTGAAACGATTACATAAACAAGACCAAAGTAGTTTTTTTTTCAAAATGTTTTTCCCATATTAAGGACAACTATTTCGCAGACTGCAAATCGCTATACTCGATTCAATTCATGGTCCATTTATGATTGGTAATTGTACTATCCTAACTAATAAAATTAGCCTATTTGTCCTAACATAAATTTTAAGTTATATATTTTTGAACCAATACACATGGTTCAGTGTAAGTGTCCATGGATGACATTATTGCCCGATACCAGCTGATTGTATTTTATCATAACATATGTAGCCACTGGCTTGCCAATAATCTGTACTGAAAGGTACAGAGTGGGGCAATGAGCCTCTAATTTTCTATCACTGTCACATGATAATTAATGCACCAATGAATGAACACTTTTGCTCGTGATGTCAATACAACTATAACATCTACTTAAAATGGTGCTCTGGACAATGAGACGTAGCGATTTTGCTATAGACATCTGTTTTAAGACTAATAATTCTTTTGAAAACACTAAGAAATTATTTGGAGCACATTTCATCGTCGGTATACATGGTATTTTAAAATAAAAAATCTACAACTTCGAGTGTAAACAATGCACCTCTAAAGATTTAAGCACTTTCCTCTTTTTAGCGAATTTCCCATATAGGGAATAAGGTATTATCGACCTATGGCCAAAACATAAAACGAAAAAGCGCGTAATAAATAAATGTTTCGTGTACGTGTATAGTCCAGGCGCTAAGGGGGTTTGAGCATGCATAAAAGTGTAACGAAATTTGACTTTTGATTGTTGCTATGGGTACCTAGTAGATAAAGAAAATCGATGTTGTCGCATTTCTAGGTGGTTAATAACATGGGGGGGAGGGGGTGAAGTTGGGGGCCGCCCGGGGGGCCGCCGCGCACAAAATAGCTTATATCTCGAGAACCAAAAGTCATATGAATACGTTAGACATGTCAAACTGTGCAGAAAAATGCATTCTACAAATAGATTATGTAGTATTTTCACGGAAATTGACAAGAAGTTACTAAAAATTATATTTTTTAAATTTACCATAAGTATAATTAGGAGTATAATGGTTTTTGTTGTTGTTTAGAACCACTAATTTTTTAATTGACAACTTTTGAGAGTAGTACACTATAGGTAAATAGTACTTCTGTATAATGAAACTATTGCGGTACATAACTTAACAGCTATACAATCCTCAGATCCAATAAACATAACACAAACAAAGGCGCAAAACGCGTCACGGTCATTGTTCCTGCTGCCGTAACTATTAATGGCAAGTACAGTTCAAGCTGAGACCTCTATTATACTTTTAGAAAGATAGATATTCTGAGGATTCATTTATAGGATATAAAATAGTATTGAGCGACTATTATGTAGCGGGAAATATAGTTTGTAAAAGAAGAGAGTTCAAAATATATTTTGGTGGTGGATCGTTTCCATCACCATCTGAAACTGCAATAAATTCCCTACAATTTATATATATCCAAATCTGAGGTTGGTTATAACAATTTTATGTAGTTTTGAAAAGGTCATAAAAATTTTGTTTTCGTAAAAAATTTTAACGTTTCACATTCTGACGTAAATTACTCAGGAAATTTCGATTTCAACTACATTTAACTATACATTTTTAGAAAGAGCTTTTACTCTTAAATTATGCAGTGTAACAAGGCTACAAATACAAGCTAGGAATACAATGGAAACTCCATTTACAGTATCTAAACTTAAATTTATTTCATTACAATACAAAATTGATGGTAAAAAGAAAGAAGCTAAGGGTTCACAATAAAAGTTTACAAAGGGTG